TATATTTGGAGGAAAAAAAAAAAAAAAAAAAAAACACTGTTGGTGTGGCTTGGTGAAAGCTATGCAATGGCTGTGATTGTAAAAGGCCCCACAGGCGAGCCCAGTCAGGCCAAATGAACCTCGTATTCTTCTAGAGGCAATGGGCCAACATTCATTTTTTTTCATACACTATGTACATGATTACTGCCTAGGTTTTTTATTGCTTTAAACACAAAAATGGAAGACTATCATTCCTTGAACCCTTGGTAAGAAAATGACATATATCATTATCATAGTTATTATGATTATCTTTTCTCATTATCACTACTAAAACAATGATCATGATTATATTTATTATCATCATAACTGGAGCATTAATTAAATGTTGATATTATTACTAAAATAATAGTAATAACTACTGTTCATATCAGCATTATCATAATTTACTTTCCATTACCATTACTAACTTCTTACCATTCTTAAGCCTATTGTTCGAACATTTATTATTACTACATACCCTCTTATATATTAATCTTTATTTTGATTACCATATTTTTCTACACAGCTGAAATTATAAATTCCATACAAATTTTATTATTTCCAGTTTATCAGTCATTCAGGGACAATTGGTAAATTAATAAATGAATAATGGAAAGAAACAAAATTAGCACAAAAAGCAGACACCCTATACAACTCCCTTTAAACGCAGAGCAGAACACTTCTCCTGAGAAGACGATTTCAGACATCACTTTTTCAACTCAAAACACACAAAGACTGACTGGACAAATGAATACCCAAACTGCTAGGACCCCACACTATCATGCACATCTTAGAGGTGCACACACCCTGGTCAGTCAACAGACAATACTAATACATTATGGAAGCAGCTGTTTACCTGCAGTGCAGATACTTCCTATAATGTGAACACAACATCCCTAACAAGTATTTTTAAGGTTCTGATCTGCGGTATTTTCATCAAAGAACTTACACCCACCTGTGCAGGTGAAGACCCAGAGGGTAAGTTGCTTCCTGCAAGCTTGCGTACCATAGCCCCACTATTTGTTACATTGCTGATGCTATTGTTGCTGCTGTTGCTGGTGACAATGTTGCTTGCACTGGTAGTAGCCTGGCCACTAGTGCTACTGCTGCCACTTGTACTGCCAGAGCTGGTGATGGTTGACCCTGCAGCAATCTTGGTAGTGGAGTGACAGAGAGAAGGATGAGATTGATGGCATTTGAGAAGCTCGGCTGCGTGAAAAATATTTTCCAATGATGTTTTGGTCTCTTCAGGTAGTGTTTTGCGGTTTTGTTTTCTTCCTCAAAGTTATCAGTTGAAAAAAGGAAGAATTTGAGCATAGGAGAGTGAGAGAGAGAAAAAATAAATAATCAAATTAAAGAAAATGCCGAAATAATAAAAGTGTCATTCACCCAATACAGCCACACACACACAAACTTATAAAATGCTGAATGTCTCACTTGTTTTGAGCCCTGTTTACTGGACTTGCTACTGCTGCTGGAGTTGCTGCTGGACTTTTTCTTCTTCAAGGGCGGCTTTCCAAGGGGGCCCTGGGAGCTGTTTGAGCCACCACCAGAACCCTCCAAACTTAATCTTTTCCTGCAACTTGGTCATGAAAAGTGGAATTAAGGAGCTATTCTTATATCTCTTAAAATGTTGTGTTGATTCATAAATACAATAATGCTTTTAGTAATCAAAAGAATGTGAAATATAAAAAAATCTTTACATATACGAAAACATAAAAGTACACCTGAATACACCGAGCCATATACCATGCCATTTATTCATCTAATATCTATTCCTATTTGCCTATCTATAACTCCATCTATGAATAAAAGCAACAGGCCAATTAGCAATAAGAGTTTCTAAACTCCTCACTCCCATTTGCATAGTGAAAGTATTCAAAGGACTCACCTCTTTGTGTCCAACTTGGCATCATTTTCTGTGTCTGACTCTTCGGTCTGCTCAGAGTCCGAGGATGAGTCAGGACCTCGATGGTACTGCAAGAGGCGATCGAGGAGAAAGGACTTGTCCCGGCGCACCCTCAGGAGGGCTCTCTGGGCTTTCCGAAGTTCTTCTTGGAAGCACTCATTTTCCTGGTAGATATGTTATTCCTTCATATTTCCTTAGTTTTAATTGAAAAATCAATAAGACTAATCATGTCACCATATTCATTAAATTATTGTTATGAATTATTTACTATAATTTCCCAAATGAACTATCAAAAGGTGATGTAATGTTTTGAATGCAGCAGTGAGTGCATGAAATAAGACTGAAAATTGCTTCATTAATTCTAGTCCTAAAAAATAAAAATAAAATAAAAATAATAATAGTAGCAGTAGAAGTAATAGTAGCTAGTAGCCCCCCAGTATAGTATAGTATAGTATAGTATAGTATAGTATAGTATAGTATAGTATAGTATAGTATAGTATAGTATAGTATAGTATAGTATAGTATAGTATAGTATAGTATAGTATAGTATAGTATAGTAAGTAAAGTATAGTAGTAGTAGTAGTAATAGTAGCAGCAGCAGCAGCAGCAGCAGCAGCAGCAGCAGCAGCAGCAGCAGAAGTAGAAGAAGTAGAAGTAAAGTAGAAATAGAAGTAAAGTAGAAGCAGTAGTAATAGTAGTAATAGTAGTAATAGCAGTAATAGTAATTGTAATAGTAATAGAAATAGTAATAGTAACAATAATAATAATAATAACAATAATAATAACAATAATAATAATAATAATAATAATAATAATAATAACAATAAGTCTAATAAAAAGACCACAAAGCTTACAAAACCTTACATGTCCTTATCAGCATGTGTGTCAAAAGGAAATGCATCAAACATTTACAAAAAGAGTGGGTCTTATACCCACTCTGCTGGCATGATTTTACTGATGTGGGTCTTATACATATGAAAAAGAAGACTAACATCAGTAAAATCATGCCAGCAGAGAGGGGTATGCTTAAGAAAAAAAGCTTATTTGCGAGACAGAAAATCTGATACTGGTTACTGATAATAATCAGTCCTATTATGGAAAGATCATGAGAGATATTGTAAGTACATGTTATCCCTTTGTTAGTGGTTGGCATCAAGCATAATGCCATGGTGAAGCTGGGTCTAAAACCTAGGTGGCACTGAATAATAAAATATGCTGTGCCATTGGCTCGTCAGACAGTAGTATATTATTATTGTTTGATCTCACTATGAGATTAATTTGATAACACATAATTAGACACAAAGCTAAAATGCTGACAGGACACTCAGTCCGAGTGCCAATAATGTTAGTACCTTAGGGAGCATGTAACTCAGTTGATGTAATATCAAAATGTAATCTAGACATCCTTCCTCATGGAATCACCCACCTGCATTCCTACCTTTTCTTTCATCTATCACAGTGAACCTTATTCGTCTACAAGGATACGATAGCAAATACACCCTTTGCAAGCACCACAAATTTAAGGATCAAATGCAAAAGTATATCAGGTAAAGCTTACATATATCAGGAGTTTCAATTTCCTCTTTAAGGTCTTGTAATTGGCCTTATAATCCTCTGGCCCATCTGTCTGCACTGGCATGATGAAACCTGTGAGAGATGAGGGAACAAAGTCAGAAAATATACCAAGTACTGATAAATGTGTACAATTGCAATACTAATAAAAGATAACAATAAAAATACTAAGAGTAGTAATAATCACACCAGGAATAACACTATTAATAATAATAAAAATAACAATAATGATTATAAAATGGATAAGGATTTTCTTATGGGCTAGCCATTTAGTCAAAGCATACTTGACAACTAGGAAGGAAAGTATGTTATAATAGTAATTATCATTACAGCCACTATAAATACTCTCTGGTGTGTGGCTTGTAGGCCAAGCTCACACAAATAGATGTATACAGTACGAAGACTCCTTCCCTCCCTTTCTGTTTCCATCTAATTTCCATCTTGATCTTGTGCTATGGAGGATTTATACAACTAGAATGTTTTACTGATAAATTAGACATAACATGTTAATGCAAACACAAGTTAATATTCCAGAATATTTCTCGACACAATATACATAATCAAATTTCATCAAAATAATGTGATGTGTGTGAGAATGCTCGTCTGATTCGCTGGACCTCACTCATATGCCCTATGTTTACGTAAGAAATGTTTAAAAGGGTCCATCCATTTCCATAAAAAAAAGTTCACAAGGAAAAGCAAAAATTGTCGGCAAAAGTGCTAGTGTGAGAGGGCCTTTACACCGGGATCCAGACTGTAGAGTATTTTTCTTGCGCAGGGATTGTTACATTTTTTCATGCGTGGAAAACATAATTTTGTCTACATTTACAAGGATGGATACGCAGACGGATGATTAAAAAAGTGCGCAGAAAGGTCAAAGGAATCTTATGCGCAGAAAGGTCAAAGGAATCTTATGCGCAGAAAAGTCAAAGGAATCTTATGCGCAGAAAGGTCAAAGGAATCTTATGTACAGAAAGGTCAAAGGAATCATGTGCAGGAAGGTCAAAGGAATCTTATGCACAGATGATTTTAAAAAGAACTAAGCATGCATGGAAAGTTACCAGAGAACTACATATGCGCAGACAAAATTTGACAACGTTCCCCGCGCAGACCAAACTCTACAGTCGTAACCAGGACGGCACTAACTCATAGTGACCTCATGATAAGCCTACCCATATGGTTTTCATATTTTTGGATTCACACTGAATGTAATGCAAAGAAATATTGAGAAAAATAAAGTTTAATCCGCAAAAAATACAAAATTAAATATAAAAATAATTATGAGAAAAAAATCTCATGAACTTACCGGGAAAAAATAAACGAACTATATTTAAGAAAAAATAATCACAAATAATACCAGTAATTTTTAAAAACACATAAGAGTTACAACATTAACACCATCTTGAACATATAAAATCACTTAACTACCCTATATTAGTTACCAAAGTAGTTTTAACTGAAGAAACACGAGGTACTGTTCAGCCTCTCTCAAGTTTCTGCTCAGCTGCTTTGTTTGTTTACATCTGGGCCAGCGTTGAAGGGGTCATAGAAAACGGCTTCGGTTTAGGGACACGTAGGTATTTTAGTGAGTGAGCGTGTGTGTTGTGTGTGTGTGTGTGTGTGTGTGTGTGTGTGTGTGTGTGTGTGTGTGTGTGTGTGTGTGTGTGTGTGTGTGTGTGTGTGTGTGTGTGTGTGTGTGTGTGTGTGTGTGTGTGTGTGTGTGTGTGTGTGTGTGTGTGTGTGTGTGTGTGTGTGTGTGTGTTGTGGTGTGTGTGTGTGTGTGTGTGGTTGTGTGTGTTGTGTGTGTGTGTGTTTGTGTGTGTGTTGTGTTGTGTTGTGTTGTGTTGTGTTGTGTTGTGTTGTTGTGTTTGTGTGTTTGTGTTGTGTTTTGTGTTGTGTTGTGTGTTGTGTGTGTGTGTGTGTGTGTGTGTGTGTGTGTGTGTGTGTGTGTGTGTGTGTGTGTGTGTGTGTGTGTGTGTGTGTGTGTGTGTGTGTGTGTGTGTGTGTTGTGTTGTGTTGTGTGTGTGTGTGTGTGTTGTGTGTGTGTGTGTGTGTGTGTGTGTGTGTGTGTTGTGTGTGTGTTGTGTGGTGTGTGTGTGCGCTGCTGT